TGGTAGCAAGCAGTACAGTTCACACGACTGCTCCAGGCCACGAGGCCTGAAGCAATCGTTCGAGGTTTAGTCCCATGTATGCGTATAGCTACTCGCAGTAATAATAAACACTATATCCTGATTCGCGTCCGCTTCATGCCATCAATCGGTGGTTGGTCATAGGGCCGTCGATAAGTTTAAGGTATTTCGTGATTTCCTTCATATGTGAGTTTAATTAACCAATCACATTGCTAATAGTCACACGTGTCCAGAAATTCTCATAACGCACTGTCTGCCGAAGTGGATCTCGCTGTGTAACATACTCTATATTCAATTCAGCAAATCTCATGTGTCTTTCAGCAGAAATTATGTGCGACTCAGCAATTCTTATGTGGCTCTCAGCAATTCCTATGTGGTCCTCAGCAATTCTTATGTGGCAATATTTTATCATCCTTCTTCACGCCCTCAGACAACGAATGTCGGATGTTCTCCAGACGTTTCACCCCTTCCTCATCAATTCGAAGCGATCTGGCCAGCTTCGCTTGGTGTTTCATCCGCTTGTATGATTGGTCGACAGTCGATATCGTCGGGGCAGCCACCTCGCTCTGGATCTCCGCGTTGCGACCAGTCAAAGACAACAACGACGACCGCTTCTTCTTCCCGGCTGCTCCTGACGTAGGAACCATGACGTGTAAGTTGGAAAATGCCCTACCCAGAGAACCACAAATCGACGATCTTACCAACTGGCCGAAGTCAACTCATGGTCGCCTCTGATTGGCTGCCTGACAGAGTGATGGAGGTAGACTACAGTCGGTTTCCGTCTGAAGACTGTTGTTCGACGGACAATTCTGACCGACTATTCCCTTGTTTTCCGACATATTTCGTCCCAGTCTGCGATATTACAGTGCTGGCCATAAGTGAAAGGTACAACACTTTTTTACTCGAACAATTAGACTGGTACCTCAAACCTCAATAGCATTTGTAGCAGGTGAATAGCAATGAAAAGACGAATGTTTTGGCACCAAATGACCATGGTAACTCGGCATCAAAGGAGAAAAATCTGTAAAATAGTAAAATGAGTACAATTATTTCTGGCCATAAGTGAAAGGTACAAAAGTTATAAGCGAAGTAAAACACCGAAAAATAATGCGGTGTTAATCGTTTTACACACTAATACTTCGTACACGACCCCTTGCCTTGCAGAACATCGATACAGCGCGATTTCATGGATGCAATAAGCTTGTGGAAGAGCTCTTCGTCAATGGCATCCCACTGACGTAAAATCTCAGACTGGAGCTCTTGAACAGAGCCAAACTGCCTTCCATTGGCATAAACTTTGCGGGCCAGGCATCGCCAAACATTTTCGATGGGGTTTAGGTCAGGCGAAAGCGCAGGCCAGCTCAAAAGAGGAACATTTTGTTCCGTCAAAAACACCCTGGCTTCTTGACTGGCGTGAATGCTCGTATTATCTTGTTGAAATACAAACCCATCAGGGGGATGGGCATGGACGAAGGATAGCAGATAATTTGCCACCGTGTCGCAGTAGGTATAGAAGTCTTGGCGGCCTTGGAGGACGGCAACTTCCGTCCGACCTTGACTTGAAAATCCGGTCCAGATCATCACGCCACCCTCACCATTTTGACGGCTCAAAAACGTCTGCTCGTCCTTACGGAGATCATGCCAGTAGTACTGGAGGCCATCAGGGCTATCCAGATTGAACTTCTTTTCATCGGAAAAGACAACTTGGTTCCAGCCGAAGCGTGTGAGTCGTAGTAGTGTATATAGGTGGTTCTACCAGTCTTGGGGTGGTCGTAAATTGCCGGGAACGCACTCTGCGGTGGATTTTGAATTTTGTACCTTTCACATATGGCCAGGTTTTTTGCCGCTCAAAAAAATATTTTCGACATTTTTTCTATGTGTATACATCGTTTTAGGTATTTAAAAACATCAGCGTGACCACAATTTTAATTGGCGTGAACTGACTGAAAGAGCGCTTTGATTGGATAAAAATTGTGAATTCTACAGTCGAAAGGCTTTTGTACTTTCACTCATGGCCAGCACTGTATGTCCGTCCAGTCTGAGACTACCAGGTCCCGGGTGCCGTCGTACATTTTGTCGTGGCCTCATCGTACCGTGCTCCATGACCACTCATTTTCACGCGACCTCCTTCCGTAAGGTCGTCAGCTTTAGCTAGCTTTTAGATAGTTCACTTTTTCATTTGTCTAACATTGGATCTACTCCTTTCTTGCTGTGTTCTTCTTGGCCAAGCCGAGATTATCCGGTCCTGAAGTCCGAACCTTCGTAACTTTTGTGCGTCTAACCTCACACACGACTTACGCAATATAGTGTGATGTCTTACACCGATTCACTTGGCTATTCCTCACCATTACATGCGTCATGTCTATCGCGCAATTCCTTCCTTGATTGCAATTGGTTGGAATTGTTTCTCGCTCGCTATTGGTTAGAATCACTTTCCAGTTACTACAGTGCGCGCCACATGGATAGGACACCCCTGTTTTATCAATGAGGCGATGGCATTTGTGCTCTGTTGCTGCCACACGGCGGATAAATTCAAGTGACAGCTAAAGCTAGATCGTTTGACACAAGATGCAGTCCATTCTAATAAATACTGAGCAAATTATGACATGAAACAGGAATTTGGGGTGCGACATTTGGATAGGACACCCCAAAAGTTAACAACGAAATGTGTCCTCACGGCACCAAAATGTGTATTTAATACTTTGTTTTGCCTCCTTTGGCTTGGATAACATGCACACAGCGCTTTGGCATCGACCTGATCAGCTCCTGCAAGTAGTTTTGGGAAATATTTTCCCACTCACGCTTGATGGCGACCTTTAGCTCAGCCACAGAGTCAAATTGTTTACCATTAAGGTCAACTTGGCGAGCCAGCACACCCCAAACGTTTTCGATAGGGTTTAAATCAGGCGACAACGCAGGATGACCAAAAATGACAATATCTTGCTCGTCCAAAAACTCCATAACGACCTTAGAACAATGAATGCTAGCGTTGTCTTGCATAAATACAAAACTTCCGCCATACACCTCATGACCAAATGGGAACAGGTAGTTCGACAACGTGTCAATGGACTTGTCACCTGTCTGTGAGCCGTCCAGAAAGGCGATTTCCGACTTCCCGTGACTTGAAAATGCGGCCCAAATCATGCAACTGCCACCGCTGCTGTGCCGGGTAAAAAATTGGTCTTTTTCGTGGCGAAGGTCGTGCCAGTAGTACTGTAAACCATCTGGACCGTCGAGGTTGAACTTCTTTTCGTCCGACCACACCGCGATGTCCCAGTCAGGTGGATTGGTGAGGTTGTCTTCGGCGTACTTGAGTCTTGCGTCTTTGTGGCGTTGTTGAAGCTTCGGAGCATGTTGACGCTTGGTGTATTCTAGGAAAGCGGCTTGGTTCAAGATGCGTTGATACGTGCGGAGCGACACTTCCAACGGCAGGTATGCTTTGAGCTGCCTGGCTGAGCATCCGGTCGTCGAGGCGTGCTTGACGATTTGCCGGCGCGCCCGTTCTGACACTTTCGTGGACTTTCGACTTACATAGTGGGTCCCGTAGGTCTCGGGTGACCGTATAAAGCTTGCTACCACGTTTCTGGAGCGACCAAGGGCTGCGGCGATGCGTTTGATCGACCATCCAGCCTTCGAAAACGCTAAGGCACTGCCTTGCTCGTACTCGGTGAGTTGGCCGGCTCTTCCCATGACAGTTGTACTTGGAAAGGCAAGTCAAGGTAGGTCGAATGGTGCTTTATTGACGTTTAGTCCTTAGCCGTGCAAGGATTGCCTGGAAGCAGCTTAGACTGGGCTTGAAACTGAGGTGTCCTATCCGGTTGTCGCACCTCAAATTCAATTTTCGCGGCATAACTCGGCCAGTGTTGGTTATTTTGACCTGAAACAAGCGCCAAACAACCGGACCAATCAAATGCGTTCGTGTGGTATATTTTGTTTCTCTTAACGTGCATTTTATCTCACGTTGCCTCTATCCAACCAGGGTGTCCTATCCACATGGCGCGCACTGTACTGGTTGAAATATTGTACATGAGACACTTATCTGATTGACATATGTGCTGAGGCGTAGTATATCCCACTATCCACAGCTGATAGTATACGTTTTTGACGGCGACAATGAGATCAAATCCAGACTCGATGTGAGGCTCATGCCGCCGAGCCACTAGTATCCGAACATATTTTCCGTATTCTCCTATGTATAACTTGAGACACTTTTGAGATAACAAGCCTCCTATATCCCGAGATTCGGAGTTTTGATTTCCAATTTATAGAGGTTTATGATTATTACAGGCAATTGGACTACAGTATCCTATACATACTACCACGTAGTATCAAAAGAATACAGTAATCTGGTCGTCACGCATTCCTTGTAGAGGAGGGCATAAAAAGTCTCAAATACACAGATTCGATTTACTATGAATCGTCGACAAAAACATAACTTTTCAAGAGTCTGGCCCTCTCCCCCGGGACTTCGTTCAACCACGAAGTGACCATTTGTCCCAGGGGAAGGAGTGTGGTACACCAACATTCATTAGTACCTAAATTATTTTATACAGTGCATCTGATCTGTGGATTGGAGACTTTAAGCTAACTTATCTTGTAGGGGCAGTCGCCACATGATACGCCCAAACAATCACATGAGCGTTGGCATAAAACTCCCAAGTCCCCACCCACTGTCAATACTTCGAAACCTCTGGTTCAGCATTCTAACGTAATAATATTAGTGCGTAAACCTCCGATTGTGTTCGTTTCGTTTCGACATTTCCTTTAATGCGTGGCCAAAAACGGCGACGTCCGAGAAGGTGACCCTTAAATTTATTTGTACCGCGATTTCTGCGTGAGTGATTCACTCGGATCTCTACATAAATCCGAATCCAACGATTCTATTAACTACATAGCATATTTCAAATGGATGCTAATATTGTTGTATTATTTCTTGGTCCTGATCTCCACACACCATAAAGCTCCGTATTCGGCGTTCTGGATGACACATTCGTTCTTGGTGAATTCACTGAAGCACGAGTTCAACCCAGGGATGTAACACCAATCGCATGTGTTGCAGCCGTCGGGGGCGGCAGTCGTAGCAGGCACTAGCTCCGTGATCGGTTCACCGTTGAATATGGTGGTCTCTTTAGCAAACTGGTTGATGCCTTTGTACACTTCGAGGCCGCGTGTCGGGATCGTCGACGCTTCCGCAGCAAAATCATTGCCCACCACTTCAAATGTCACAGAGGGCTTTTTGAACTCGCGGAACGCGTAATCTGAGAACACTCCATACGCGAAGTAAAATGTTTTGGCCACAGGTCCAGGGGTGTACGCCCCCATGGCGCTTTGCAATCCACGACCGAGGACTTCGAACTTCTCGTCAAACCCCCCGCCGATGGGCTCCTTGGTGTCCCCATATGGGTACAAGATGTACCCCCCGTATGAGTGAATGTCAATGAACCCTTGGATTTCACTGCGTTTGGATAGGAGCCATTCATTGATACCCTCGGTTTCAGGCTCACTGAAAGTAGACGGACCGGGGTAATCGGCGGCCGAGATGGCGGGGGGGTTGGGGTGTTCGAAGGAAGTCGGCCAGTTCCGGTTCAAGTCGACTAGGTTGTAACTCTTGCGCTGGGCCCGATAGTGCTCCTCCCACGAGACCTTATAGCCGTCAATGTTGACGACCGGTACAAAGTACAAGTCGTACTCGTCGGCGGCCGTGGGTCTATTCTTGGCAATATCATCCAGAATCGACGCGAACGAAAACAGAATCGACGACCCCGAGATCCATTCGCGGGAGTGTTGTAGGGCTTAAAAGTACAGCGACTGAGAGTGGCCCTTGGTCAGCTTGTACCCGTAAATCGTGGCCCCCTTGAACGTCTTGGATATGACAAATTTGCTCAGCAACGTCGGGTTTTGGACGACCAAGGCATCGGTGAACTCGTAGATTTGGTCGATAGTGCGGAAGCAGTTGTGGAACGCACTAGTCGAGTACTCTCCGGCTTTAAGGGACGGAATGTAGTTGGCATTTTCCTGGTGGCAAGCGCGGTTGATTTTGGCATCGTCTTGGAGGGCAGCCTCCTCCTTCAACGTTCGAGCGCGGCCGTCGATGCCCGTGAAGGTGTTGTTAGTTTCGGCGGTGGTCGCCGACGCAAATAGGGCAATGGCACTGAGGAGGGAGAACTTCATGGCAAAATGAATAATGAGGAAAGGGATTGTGGACTGCCAAAACGCCCTGGAAAGGGTTCGTGATGATGCGGTAGGGATTTGCAAGGAATTCTCAGACAGATGGGTGTAATGATCTTGGTAGGCTTGTTTAGGTCCACTACATAGGCTTGCGATACAGTCTGTATTCAGATGTCATTGTTGACTATGTAACCCCGAAAAACGTTCATATAACCCTTCAGCCAAGATTTAGAACCGTTGAAACAACTAATAAACTCTAGTTAGATTAGACATATTTTTTGTACTCTGACTACCTCCACTCCTACCCCAGGGATTTAGCAGTAAACTTCGCAAGCGGGGTTACAGTAAGAGAGTTGCAGGGTTACAGGAAGAATATATGCTTGAACTGTTCTAAGCCTCGGCTAAAACCCCGAAGCGTTTCCCAAGGGGAGGGAAAATTGCTCAGCATCAGTTTCTTAACTCAAAGGTCATGGGTTCCGCTTCCCCGGATAATTTCCGCAAGGATTTATCCGTCCGTCCCCTGGGGAATCCGGATAACAAGGGCTGCGTACGAAGACGAGGGCCGAATTTCGAAGAAGATCGGTCGAAGCACGAGGTATGGATCCATAACATGTGGTTCTAGTATCGAGCCCTCGCGGAGGAATGTCTTAAAAATGATAATCCAAACTCAATTAACCCAAAGCATTTCCCCTTACATATGTCTCATATATTCATGCGACAATCGATGAACTGGTATACTAGTATACGAGTACAGTACTGCAGTACTAGTACAGACGTAAACCATCAATTCTTGCCCTGGTATTGACGCAATAAATTATCGAACGGTCATTGGTATACTTCATACAGTACTGCTGGGAATTTACTAATATCAACGGAGTTCGTAACCAACCACCTCTCGTCATCACGGAGATGACAAGAAATATGACCACAACAGTTGCTGGGGTTTTCGCAGTCTCCTCGGCGTTGGGATAGAGATTTCGGGCGATCAAGTCAACGATTTCGATTATGTTTGCAGTCTTCTCTGCGTTGGAGGTTGTCCACTCGACTAAAACTTAAAATCACGTGGGTGTTGTTTAACTACAGTTTTGTACTAAGTTACTGGTAGTAGTACATCGGTAAGATAAGTCGACTTTCAATTTCTCTCAACTTCACCGCAAGTGAGCAAGTGGGACACTTCAGCAGTATAATACAGACACTGTATAGGATGAGATTCGGACATGCACTTAACTGGATTTACGCATTAAATGCGAATAGTAGTTAGTACTACCACAGGCCTTGTCCGGGTAGCGGTACGGCCTGCGGCCTACCTGCCGCTTTTCCCGACAAGAGGAATCGATTGGACATTCGGTGAAGTGCACGATTGGGGTTCACTCCTCGCCAAGGCACCGCCTGCACAAAATTATACACACGACCTCCGCTACACTGCGGAGCGCGCAACGGTGTCCGAAAAGTTGTAATATTCACCCATATTTCAAATGGATGTAGTATTATTTCTTGGTCCTGATCTCCACACACCATAAAGCTCCGTATTCGGCGTTCTGGATGACACATTCGTTCTTGGTGAATTCACTGAAGCACGAGTTCAACCCAGGGATGTAACACCAATCGCATGTGTTGCAGCCGTCGGGGGCGGCAGTCGTAGCAGGCACTAGCTCCGTGATCGGTTCACCGTTGAATATGGTGGTCTCTTTAGCAAACTGGTTGATGCCTTTGTACACTTCGAGGCCGCGTGTCGGGATCGTCGACGCTTCCGCAGCAAAATCATTGCCCACCACTTCAAATGTCACAGAGGGCTTTTTGAACTCGCGGAACGCGTAATCTGAGAACACTCCATACGCGAAGTAAAATGTTTTGGCCACAGGTCCAGGGGTGTACGCCCCCATGGCGCTTTGCAATCCACGACCGAGGACTTCGAACTTCTCGTCAAACCCCCCGCCGATGGGCTCCTTGGTGTCCCCATATGGGTACAAGATGTACCCCCCGTATGAGTGAATGTCAATGAACCCTTGGATTTCACTGCGTTTGGATAGGAGCCATTCATTGATACCCTCGGTTTCAGGCTCACTGAAAGTAGACGGACCGGGGTAATCGGCGGCCGAGATGGCGGGGGGGTTGGGGTGTTCGAAGGAAGTCGGCCAGTTCCGGTTCAAGTCGACTAGGTTGTAACTCTTGCGCTGGGCCCGATAGTGCTCCTCCCACGAGACCTTATAGCCGTCAATGTTGACGACCGGTACAAAGTACAAGTCGTACTCGTCGGCGGCCGTGGGTCTATTCTTGGCAATATCATCCAGAATCGACGCGAACGAAAACAGAATCGACGACCCCGAGATCCATTCGCGGGAGTGTTGTAGGGCTTAAAAGTACAGCGACTGAGAGTGGCCCTTGGTCAGCTTGTACCCGTAAATCGTGGCCCCCTTGAACGTCTTGGATATGACAAATTTGCTCAGCAACGTCGGGTTTTGGACGACCAAGGCATCGGTGAACTCGTAGATTTGGTCGATAGTGCGGAAGCAGTTGTGGAACGCACTAGTCGAGTACTCTCCGGCTTTAAGGGACGGAATGTAGTTGGCATTTTCCTGGTGGCAAGCGCGGTTGATTTTGGCATCGTCTTGGAGGGCAGCCTCCTCCTTCAACGTTCGAGCGCGGCCGTCGATGCCCGTGAAGGTGTTGTTAGTTTCGGCGGTGGTCGCCGACGCAAATAGGGCAATGGCACTGAGGAGGGAGAACTTCATGGCAAAATGAATAATGAGGAAAGGGATTGTGGACTGCCAAAACGCCCTGGAAAGGGTTCGTGATGATGCGGTAGGGATTTGCAAGGAATTCTCAGACAGATGGGTGTAATGATCTTGGTAGGCTTGTTTAGGTCCACTACATAGGCTTGCGATACAGTCTGTATTCAGATGTCATTGTTGACTATGTAACCCCGAAAAACGTTCATATAACCCT